GTTAACACTAATACCAAAGCATTAAGTTATTTTTTTAAGACTAATGCGAAAGTATTAACTGAGTTATTTAACTTTAATACATAAGTATTAGCGTTTTCTTAACACTAATGCTAAGACGACACCCTTAGTCACAAGTCATCAAAATATATTCTTTGACCAATCAAAATCAAGTCACTAGACGTTGAAAAATTTTCTCCAGTCAAAAATTACATGAATCAAGTCATATTTACTTGACTTGCTCATCTCGAGTGGCGCTGCTCACTTGTTTGATGTAAAAAAACAATGTGGTCAATAATATGAAATATTTTTTGTTATTCATTTGTTTCGAAAGACATCTTTTATGTAGTAATTTTTGTTTTTTATCACTTTGAAAATGCAACTTTAAAGAGGTTCACTATTTCAATTTTATTAGTAGATTAATAAAATTCATATCATTTGATTTTTAGTCTAGTTGATTTCTTTGAAATGTCGATTAATGATGATGCATTAATATGGATCGATTTAGAAATGGATGGATTAGATCTAACCAAAAATTTTATCTTAGAAATTGCTTGTATTATTACTGATTTCGATTTAAAGGAAATTTATCAAGGTATTTTTTTTTTTTTTTTGTATATTTATATTTTCTATCAAATGAATTATTTTCTAGGACCTGATCTTGTTATTCATCATCCAAAATCATTACTTGATGCTATGGGACCATGGTGTATGGAACATCATACAAAATCAGGTCTTGTTCAACAAGTTTTAGATAGTAAATTATCAATGTTGGATGCTGAAAATGAAATAATAAATTTTATTAAACAAATAACATTATTATCAACAAATAAAAAACGTCTTATTCTTGCTGGTAATTCTGTTTATGTTGATCGATATTTTCTTGAAAAAGATATGCCATATTTAAATTCTTTACTTGATCAATCAATTCTTGATTGTAGTACATTAAAAGAATTAATTCATCGTTTTAATTATAAAATTTATTTTAATGCACCAATTAAATCTGGAAATCTTCATCGTGCATTAGATGATATTCGTAATAGTATAGAAGAATTAAAATATTATCAAAAAACAGCATTTAATGAAGAAAAACAACAAGATAAATTACCTATAATAAAAAATCTTACACAATATCTTATATGGATTAATATTAATTCAATAACATTAATACATTGTATTTTAACTGATAATAATCTTAATATAATTGATGAAATTATTGATGGAAAAACAGATGATGATTTAATGAAAATTTTTTATCGAAATAATATTTATCAAGAAAAACTTATTGTTGTTGCTGGTAAATTTTTAGGTCCAATTCGTGCTCAATTAAAAGAATTAACACCTCAATTTAATGAATTTTGTCATTATCGATCAATTGATATTGATGTTATATCAATTCTATGTGAAAAATGGTTTCCAAATATATATGAACAACGACCTTTTAAGAATGATAATGATAATAATTTAAAAAATTCTATTGAACTTCTTCGTTTTTATCGTTCGACTATATTTAAATAGAGAAAAAAAAGAAAAGAAAAAAAAAACAAAGTTTTTATAAAACATTAAAAAAAAAGAGGAAAAACACTTTTTGCTGAATGTTTTGGTTTATCATCATTATGTATTTTTGTTATAGCTGTTGCTGATGGAATTATTTGTTGAACTTTTGATATTGGAGCAGATGATGATACATTTATTGTACGATTTGTTCCAGTTGTTGTTGTTGAACGAAGTGCTATAATTGTCGAACGATTATTCATTGATGATTGATTTATTGAACTATTTATTCGAGATGCACGTTGAAGAAGATAGTGATTTGATTGTTGAATTAATGGAGATGATGGAGTTTGTAAACAGGTATTTAAATTACGGACACAAACATTGACTAATTGACTAACACTGTCAAGTAATGATTGAGCATTGGGAAATTTACGTTGTGATAATAGAAAAAATACTTCAATAAAAGCTGAAAATGGTAACCCTACAAATAAAATATATATGTTTGAAAATAAAAACAATCTACAATATGATCAGTGATATCTATGTCGGCGCCAGTGGCATATTTCTAATCGCGATGGACATCTCTGGCAATGGTTAAGCAACTTCTTGATAGTTACCTCTAGAGCTGTAACTGATATAATTTATTCAAGTGGTGCCTTCTATTCATGTTCACATTCAGAATCAAAGGATGTTCACTGAGAGAGATTTTATTTTATAATCAGAAAAAGGAATAGGAGAAAGAAGATGATATAGATCAAAATAATTTTGAAGTCTTAATTACATTCCGATATTAATATAGATTTTGTAGTTGTTGGATTTTAGTCTTACTAAATGATTCTATCTAGCTAACGAGGAAATATTCTCAAGTGTCTCGCATATGTAAAAAGTCTAAAAGGATTGCAATCGACAGCTTTTTCTTCGAGAGTTACGACCACTTTCCTGATTTTCCAAGCGAAAGCTAGCATAAAAAGAAAAATTCATAACTCTATCAAGGAAACTTATAGAGAGCTGAAATTTGTTTTGATGGTAGTCTTAAGAGTCCTCTATGTATTCTGAATGTTTCACAATTCTATCACTCACTTTTCCTGAGTTATAGGACATTTCTATATGTAAGGATGTGAATGAAAGTATACGCGTTCGTGCTTTCTTTCGCCCACACCCTTACTTATAGAAATGTTCTATAACTCGGAAAAAGAGAGTGAGGGAATTGTGAAACTTTCAGAGTATATAGAGGACCCATAAGACTACCATCAAAACAAATTTCAGCTCTCTATGAGTTTCCTTGATAGAGTTATGAATTTTTCTTTTTATGCTAGTTTTCGCTAGGAAAAGCAGGAAAATGGTCGTAACTCCTGAAGAAAAAGCCATCGGTCGCAATCCATTTAGACTTTTAACCTACTCGATATCCTCTATCGAATGATATATAAACGAACGAAATCGAAGCGATTCTTGTCAAACAGATTTTGAGAGAATTATGTTTCGTGTTATAAACAGAAATCAAAAAGAAAAACCAACTTGAACTGTTCCATTTAAATATTTATATAGGTTGAATTTTACTCATTAAATTTAGTTTACGATAGAACTCATTTAATATGATCTTTGTTATTCTTATCATATATTCTAACAACTATTTCTTGCAAATCAGTCATATCTCAAATCTGATATAGATTTTACTTAAAAGAGAAGTATTCGAAATATTCACTTCCGTTTTGATTCATTTATACTTGAGAAAAAGCTTAAGAGGTTTCGAATTCATGACCTATTAGCGAAGAGCTATAGTCTTGTTATTGAGAATCAGTCATTTCGAAAAAACTAAAATGAAGAGTTTCGATTTGAAATTTTAACTTATAGAGAGATTTAATAATCATTAGATAGTTCTGAAAGTTTCAAAAAAAACAAACACATCTTTCTCGAAGTATTCAATTTTCACGTAAAGTCGATTATTGTGTTCTCTTACGGTAAAGAGTTATTTACTTTTTTAGATATTGCATACTTCAAGAAAAACATATTACATTTTTGTTAAAATTTTCAAAACTATTTAAAGATTATTATATCTATAAAGCTTCAGATAAAAACTCTTCATTTTAGTTTTTTCGGTATGACTGACTCTCAGTAAAAAAAAACGGCTATAACTCTTCTCCAGTAGGTCATGGGCATTCACCACCTTAGACCATTTCTTATCTTGGTATACTCTATTGAATTAGGTATAAATGAGTGAAAACGGAACTGAATATCTCGAGTACTGTCCTCATTAGTGTCAATAATCGATGTGCTGAAAAAAATAAAGAAGTAATGTCTCCAGTAAATGATAACTCTAAGTACTCATAGTTCATTGTTGTTTTTACATATAACTCTACTGGTCTGGATTTGTAACCAGTACTAATAGTGATAAGTACAATACTTGATATCGATTGATTAAAACAATCGAACAAAGAAAACTCTATTGTCATGATCGCAGCTACTCGATCTTCGGTAGATTTAAGTGACTCACAATCGTCAAGTATTTCATAGCAATTCAACATCATGTATTTATAAAATATAATTTTTTTCTAATATATTCTACCTGTTGAAGAAGTACGTAAAACAAATTGTTGCCATTTTCGTTGTATTTGATAATAAAGTATATCAATAGTTGGTGCTGTAATTGTTTCATTAATAATTCCACATATACTACATAAAAAAAGAAAATCAAAAATAATAATAATATTATTATTATTATTATATTAAATAAAAAAATAATTTAAAACAAACTTTGCAAAATTACGAAATTGTCCACTAGTCATTGTTTTATGTCCAAGCATAATAACAAGTTGAATATAAATATAAGCAATTTTATCTAATAAAAATAAATGTCGATATTTTGTTTTATAATTCAAAGGAAAAATCATTTTTAATTTTTGAATTGATCCAACTAGAATTGTATCAGTTGTTATTATAGAACGATTTGATGCTGATTTAAGATTTGATCGTTTTATTATTGTTGATGATGTTTGATATAAATTATTACGAATATTTTGATTTGTTTCAATTTGTCTTGTTTCTGGTGTTCCACTTTCATCATCATCAGTTGAATCAACTAATTTTTTTGTTCTTTTTATTATTTTTGGACTAGTTGATTTTCCATCATTATTAGGTAATAATTGTGTATTTGTTGTTATATTATTTGATTGTATTAGATCTATTGTATGTGTTGGAGATGTAATAAGAACTTTTTGTTGTTGATTTTGTTCTTGTTGTTCTTGGTGTAAACGTATAAATTCTTTTGTTATACTATCCGATGGTCGAGAAAAAAATGGATTTGATTTTACATCAAAACGTGTTTTTCGTGCACTTTTAATTTTTTCATTTCGTTCTTCAACTCGACGTTGTGCTACTTTTTCAACACGTTGTGCCATTAATTCATCATGAACTTGTGATTGTACATGACGTACACTAAATTTTATTAAATAGAAAAAAAAACACACACATTGATCTTTAAATATATTAGAATAAGATATAAAATATTAATAAGAGATAGATAGGATCATTTCTAATCCTGTTTAGGGGTGTCAACTTTGCGTTCCGTTCCTAGGAACGGGGAACGCTACTCCGTTCCCGTTCCTGGGAACGGAGAACGCTACCCCGTTCCTCAGCGTTCCGTTCCTAGAAACTGGAACGCAACATACGTTTCTTTCACTTTTAACAGAAATTTTACTAATTCACCGAAGGAAAGCCAATTTCATAAAAATTAGGGATGTCAACGTGCCCCGTTCCTCAGCATTCCGTTCCTAGGAACGGGGAACGCTACTCCGTTCCCGTTCCTGACAACGGGGAACGCTGAACACTCAAACATAAAAAGAAAAGTGAATATGTCTAGAGACCTCGTCATGTTGAAATATAGCGTGGAAGTGCGATTTTGACAAGCGTTCCCGTTCCTAGGAACGGAATGCTGAGGAACGGGGAACGCTGACACCCCTAATCCTGTTGTATAAGATTTCGAACCGCCATTTTATTGTTTTATACCAATAGTTGTTCTCCGATCGGTAATATAATGCTGAGGATAGTGCGAACAAACGTACAACAAGGTTTACCTTGGTCCTGAAAATCTCTAGTATAGGCATTAATGATAAAGATAATGTTACGTACGATGGTGTACGTTCGTTTACAATGGTCGTAATTCTGAAGTCAAGTACTACAATGAAACCTAATTGTATACAATCCTATATAGTCGCTCATGGCATCATAATCTTCATGTTGGGTAGTTACAACTAATAAATCATGAATTCTTATGTCTTGTGTGTCAACATCACATATTTGGATGAAGACATAGAAATATATAATTATGTCAATAGAAACTAGAAGAATATTCTTAATGGTCTAATAAAAGATTCAAAATCATTATAATTATAATTTGAACAGAAGTTCAAAAACAAATACATATTAAACTTTTACGATTCTTCAGAATTTAAAATTAAAATCTAATCGAATATCTAGCAAAGATATGTATTATGAACTATTTGAAATGATATACTTACTATAATATAAGAATATACACTGACATAGAAGACAAACTTCAAATCTTTTTGTACAAAAATTTCATCAGAAAAGAGATAGAAACAAAAAAAAAATCATACTCTGGTTATAGAAAGATGTCATTTGATAGTATACAATCTACTTACAATGTAGACAATTTTTTCTTTGGTAATGCTAATTTAAGTGTTTCTAATACTAATGGTTTTTTAATTTCTTCATCAATTGGACTTGATTGATAAATTAATTTTCCTAGAAAATAATCGATTATACTTTTTGTCAACAGAAAAATGTGTGTGTGTGTGTGTGTTTTGTACTTTTACCTGCTCCATTTTCTTTATCAAAATCAATTCGAAGTGAAGGATTTGCATTAACTTCAAGTAAAATTGGTTTTAAATGATCAGTTAGAATTATATCAAAACCAACAATCTATATATATATAAAACACGAAAGCTATTAACGTAATCCCTATACGAAATTAGATGAAAAATGGCTCGAAATTTTTTCTATAATTCATCATAGAACTTGGAGGAAGCAAACTACTGAACGCACCGTAAAAAAAAACTGTACTAATTCTTTAAAGTCTACCAAATTTTGAAGCAAAAAAAGAATCATTCATTGTTGAAAAATTTATTTTTCTTTAACTAAAGTGATCGAAAATTGGACGTGGTCAGTAGTGTTAGAGGTTTATGACTTATGCTCTTCAATATCTTGAGAAATTATCATTAGAAGAGTTTTGCATACTAAGAATAATTGTAGTGTGAGGTTTTCGAGAATTGGATTTAATAGAAACAATGAAGAATCTTCATTTATATATAACATTTAAAAATATATATGATTCTACCTGAAAACATGATATATTCTGTTTTTTTCCTAATGGTAATTCAAATTCATATTCAACACGAAGTTCAGGTAAAATAGCTAAAATAGTTTTATTAATCATTTCTGTAATTAATATTTTTGTTCGTTCAATTTTTTCATCACCAAATATTTCTATTAATTGTATCCAAACAGTACTTAATTTACGTTTACTACCATCAGTTTGTTGATTATTTGTTGTATGTTTATAATTATTACTATGTTTATTTAATGAATAATTTGTTAAATGCATATATGTTTGATGAAGATTTTCTGTTGATGGTGCTTTATAACCAACTGTTGCAAAACGAACAAGTCCTTCATCATAAAGAAATATTTCTAATGGATATAAATTAAGAATAACAACATAAATTCGTAAATCAAATTTAAGTCCATTAATTAATAATGGTCGATCAATATATTCTTTTTTAAATTTAAGAAATATATTTTAAAAAATAAAAATAAAATGAATGAAATTCTAAATATAAATAAACAAAACAAACCTTGTACAACATGTTGACGATTAGTAACAATACAATGAGCTGGATCTCTAAGTAAATAAATACCTTCACCTTGTGAACCATCTAATAAAAAAAAAATAAAGATCAGATGTTTTATAGAAAATAAAATCAAACCTGATGGTTTAACAATAAATGTTGTTAATGAACGATTATGTTTTTTATCTTGTTGATGTATATAACGTACATCATCTTTAAATTGTTGAGTTTGTTCAGGAAGAAACCATGTTTTAGGATAAAAATCAAAATCATTTGGAAATAATAATCTCATATTATTTAATAAACGAGTTAAATGAACTTTACGTAATAAATCATTCATACCTATGCTTCGTATAAGAATTTAATATCATGATTATACTATTCAATATTCTTTTTATTTTTGCAAAAATTTAATACATACCAGGAAATTTATTAACTCGACCTGAACTGAATGCAAAATTAATATTACCTTCATGAAATGATGATGAATGCCAATAGATATCAGAATCAACATTTGTATTAGTAAAACACTATCAAAAAAACAAAAAAAATACAGAATTTAATTGAATAGTTCATTTTCTTTTACTTCTTTCCATCCAAGTTCTCGAATACAAAATCGAACAACTTCAAGATTTGATCGTGCTTTAGTTATATCTACTGTTATTAAAGTTTTTCCTGCATTATTATCATCAACTTTTGTTGTTGTTGTTGTTGATGATGTTAATTTTTGTACTGTTGTCGTATTTATATCATTTTGTGATAAAGTTCGATTTGGTGATGTTGAGGATAATATTGGTTGTTGTTGTATTATTTGAGTAGCACTTGGTTGTTTTGGTCTTTTAGTAGCTGATTTTATTTTTGTATGATAATTTGCTGATCTAATTGTTTTCTTTATTTTTGTATCAGTTAATGCTGATTGACTTGCTTGATTAACAAATGCTTTCTCATTATTATCATTAGTAACAATAGTCATACTTGTAGTTTTTAATGTTTGATCAAAATCATTTTGATTATTACTACTCTGTTGATACTGATCATCAAAATCTTTATTTGTCATTTCAGTAATTGAAATATCAGGTATATGAGAATTTTCATTTATTAAATTATTTGACATTGTTGTTGTATTTAAATCAATTGATGAACGTAGAAATATAATTGAAGAATTTCCATTTGTATTTTGATTTTTAGATGATGATGATGATCCATGACGTTTAGTCCATTGTAAATGTGGACGACGTTGAATATTTGTTTGATATTGTTTAAAATGATTAATTGTTTCTGGTATTAATTCAAATTTAAAATTTGTTGCTAAACCTTCAGATTGAAAACTTGATAGACTATTTATTAAAAATGAATTAGCTGGTTGAATAAAATCATTTAATTGTTGTTCTTGACATTTAATATCATCTTTTTCAACATTTGATGGTTTTATTAATACTGTATTTGTCTTCGTAACACACTTGTTTATGTAAGTAGAAGGTGATGATGATGAAAAAGAAGTTATTGTTGGTTTTCGATTTTCTGTACAATTTTTACCATTGCCAATGTTAATACCACTTGATGATTTCACCAGCATAGTCAACAAGATTTATTGATCAAAAAAAAAAGAAAATGAAATAACACTTATCAGGTATCTGAAGGAAGAAGAATTTGCGCCTTGCCAATGTCAACCAATGAACAGTAACACATTCAAATAAGTAACAACTCGAAACTTCATTATGAAAAACGAATTAAGTTTTATATTAAAATTTTTTTTTCTTCCTAAAGTCTACATTTTAGTTTGTTGTTGTTTTTTTTTTACTATAAAGAACTAATCGACTAAATAGATGATACATAATTATATGCTTTCTTATATCAATTTCATATTACTCACAGTTTACTCCTAAGATGATGATGAAGAAGAGAAAGCATATTTTTTTTTATTTGACAAAAGAACAAAATTTTGTTATTATTGCTGTGTTCTGATTGTTGATGCTTGATAGATTTTTTTTTTCTCTTTCTCAATCAATGTCCTTTACGACAGTTAAACAACCAGCAACACGGAACACCTTAGCAACTTCTTTGTAGAGAACGAGTATTGTCGATGACAACAATAGAGAACAGGTGTGTGTGTGTGTGTATGTCGTTCGTTGAAAAGAAATTAATTTGATGAAGTTTTCTTTTCCACAAATTTATTTGACAAAGAGAAAATATTGAATATTGCTTTTCTTTTTTTTTTTTTGTTTTGTTTTAAATAATAAAAAGAAATAACTATTGAAAAAATGAAGAGGTTATCTATTGAGACTTAGAGAATATAATGATGAATTATTTCGTACTTGAATTTAAATTAGAAAATGTGTCAAAAAGAAATTCGAAAAGTATAGATGAAAATTGAAGTGATTGCCATTGGCAGAATAAGGATATAATTACGTTGTTTGCGATAAAAATAGAAAACAATATAAATCTATTTCGTTGCTTTATATATATATATATATATGTACATAAGCTGTTAGTACAATTCCTCTGGAATTAAAATATGAAACATAAAGTAGCTGCTGTTGCTAAACGCAGGAAGATTGTTTTATTCTATCTATGCTAAAGCACATCATTCTTTTATCTAATCTTCCAGAAATGCAATAAGGAAGTATCTCATATATTATAATAAAACATTATTGATATACAGTCCTTGATTGTATTTCAACAACGTTAATCACAGTCTGTAGTACAGCGGGAGAAGTGTTGTTAAGACATCTACTGCAATCTGTGACGTTAAAAGGAAAAAATGCAGCTACGATGTCTATGAAGATGTGGGGACGTTGCTAAAATGTCGGTTGTGTCCTTAATGAGCCGTTTCTAATGTGTCTGTAAATCCCGTCTGTAACGCTTAACAAGCTATCGGGACTTATTTGTTGAATTTTTTTTTCTATATCGTATAATATAGAAGTGTGATATGTTTTATAATATTAATCTAAATACATTCATTTATCATTGGATCAATTTTCAAAACATTATTACATCGTAACAGTTGCCCTACAAACTCTGATATACTAATATTGCCGACTTCTAAATCAAGAAAATTTGTTTTTTTTTTAGAAAGAATAATGTCTGAACTATAAATCTTGTACTAGACATATTTTTCTAGAACAAATCTGACAAGGAGACAAATTAAACACCTTCAAAAAAAGTTCTTACAATTTTACTATCGAGTAACAGTATGTTTTATTTTCTGTTAATTTTCTTCTAATGAAAAAAACAGGTTTAATGTTCATTTTTGTAGTGTGAAGAATATTCTTTTCAATGGTGTATCGGAAGTTAGATTTTATTCTTAGTTTTTATACCAAAATAAAGCTTTTTCTTTAAAAAAAAAACTGAGTAAATTTGGTTGTTGTTACTAATTGGATATTTTTCAATGGTAAAAAAATGTTTTTTGAATCATTGTCTGCTAAATATCTATGACTTCAGATATTACTCTTTCTAACAAAAACAAAAAACTTTCTTGATTTAAAAGTTGACAATACAGTATAATAGATCTTGACATTTTTGCAAAGACTTTTGCATACCATAATAATTTCTCAACGTAGCTATTCTACATACATATATCCCTATTGGCGTTTTGCTGCATCAAACTCCTAAACATCAATTGATTCCTCAGAAGATCGATTTATATTGATAATCATTATTCGAAAATTTTTATAACTAAAAATGCATGATGATTCAGTGGTTAGAGCGATGTCATCTTAGTTCATACATCTATGCTTCAAGTTCCTATTTGGTTCGTTCCTTTTGATTAATATGTCATAAAAAGATCTCTATTAAAAATCCTACAGTATAATATCAAATATATTGTTCTTCCAGAAGATTTATTATGTAAATTTCCCATATCCTCAAGTCCTAATAAATTCCGAAACAGAAAACAGATACCACAATTTATTTAAAAAATCCTGAAAAATAAGTCCGACAGCTATTGATCTATCACGATGTAAATTTCTATCCTAATATACTTCAACATTCCTATTAGATCGTGTGACAAAAAATGAATTGATATGTGTGAAGCGAAATCAGCTCCATTTTTTATGATTCAACCATGAAATCAGAATAAATATGGAATTCAAAGGAGTAGAATTTCAAAAAAAAAGAGAAAACTACAAGTAGGTTCGTTTTAGTCACGACCTTCGAAGCATGTCGCATGCGGATGCATCGGAATCGTTTGTCATTTACGATCACATGGAGTCTCATCTATTCCTATAAACGGGTTGTATCAGCAACAAGTTATATTTCAATAATATTGGGCATAATTTTCACATGTATGCTGTATTCATACTGTTCTACGGCAATTGGCAAACGTCCACTAAACCTTCGCCAATAATTGGCGAAGAGCAGAAGTTGCTTGTGAACTATATATTCATGGAATTCAGTGATATCTCCAGAATTCCATTGAGAGCTTTTCTTCTCAGATTATTGCGACATATTCTAATAATCTATTACATTCAATTGAGTTATAGATTACAAAGTAACAATAGGAAAATTATGAAGTCCTTTGTTTCTTCCTGATATACACTATTAAACTAAGTAATATCATTATAGTTTGAAAATGAGCTTGTCTTCTCATCACTTATTCATTATTTGTTGTGGTAGTGTATGCATTATACATTATCATTTCGAATTGAATTATAATTCTTCCTTTCAAATTAAAACATATAACTAAACTCCCTCATAAATCATACTATATTATAATAAAGATGAAAAATTATAATATAGTTTTCAATCCATAAATTGTTTACTATATTTATGTCTTTGCGAAATTTCAAGTAGCTAATATAGTATTATTGAAAACAATAAACTACTTTGTGAAATGTCTGAATGAAGGTATCTATTTGACGGATAATATCAACGTTGATGAAATTCCATGTAAGTTTTTTTTTCTTGATATTTCACATTGACACATATTCACAGTACGATCACAATAACTTTTTTTTTGAATAGAAAATGATTTGAAAAATTAAAAACAAAGAAACTATGACTTCTTGCAAAAAAAAAACAGCAATAAAATTATCATTACTTATCGATGATATGAAAAATGTTTTTACTAAAATGTAATTAGAGTGCAAATAGCTGTTGACTGAATCAATTAGTTATTAGAACCTTTATAAAAATGAGACCTTGTTTTTATTTGAATCATGCAAGAAAAAAGGAGGTCATTATAATCATAACTATCAAAAATGAGTTGATGCAAATGACATATATTAATGGATTCCATCATCAAATTATTAGATACCATTATCTCGTATAGAAGGATAAAGATATCTAGGGAAAAGATTATTTCCATCATAAATAAGCATATTTTACTCTTATAATCTCTCTAATAGAGATAAAGTCTGTGATTTTATTAATAGTTAATAATATTCAATTTTCTTATTATTTTAATATTATTTTTCTCAAATATTACTTTGAAAATATTCTTTCATATTTGATCACCTTAATAGTTGTTGTTTTTTTATTATTATTATTTCACAGAAATAAAATTTACACGAGATCTCATATTACCGAACATTGTTACTAGAAAGATTGTTGTCATATATGGGACAAGTTCACTTTTATATTAAATCAAAATAATATTTATTTAGAAAAACCAGACATTTATGAAAAAGTTATACAAAAGTCTTCTATAATTCTTAATCTTTTTATGCTATCTAGATAAATCTTTTTGTCAACAAACAATATATGCCAAATATGGCAGTGACTTGTCATTATTCAAGCATTCTTAACAAATCACCAAGAAAATACCTCATTTCAGCTATTGATGAATCATTTCTATAAATTATTATTTATAATCAATATTGAATAAAATGATTAATTAATTTTTTAAGAATACAAAAAAATTCGAAATATTTTTAACATAAAATCATATAAACACAATCAGCTGTTTAAAATGCATATTCGCGTTAAATAAATGCATATAAATCAATCAACCAATAGAAAACAATTTTATATATGTGTGTGAATACAAAATATACATATACATTCATCAGTCAGTTGAGTCTTGTCTTTTCATCCATCGGTCATTCCGTTCATACATTTTTTTTTTCTTTTTCTCTACTTAATGATGATATATTAAGTAATAAATTTTATCATTGATGTTTCATCTTTTCGTTTCTTCATTTTAGATTGCAAAAAAATTGATTCTTACGTTTTTTTTTTTTTTTCTTCTTTCGCTTCACATCTAATCAACACATTATTTAGTTGAATTATTACCGTACATTAATCTCACTTAGATATTTTCTTTTTTTTTTTGTTGTTTATTTTTTGTTTCACATCATACATAGTTGTTTTCTATTGTATTATTATTATATTCGACGCACGATCGATCTCTAATATGTTAAATGTCTCTGAGCAACAATAATAACAGTGTGTTCTTTCGAATGTCCAACTTCGTCTCGAATGGCCCACATACAAAACAGTTCGAGTTCTTCGACTAGACGATCATTACGTTTATTAACGTATGTTAAAAATAATTTATTTTTATTATTATTATTATTATTATTTTTTTTTTAAAATATAGAGCCGAACGTAAATCAACAGCTACGACGACAAACGAGT